CATACACCTGTGTTCAAATGAAACGACACGCAGGTTTGAAGTTGTTTCGCACTGTAATATTTTAGATTGGCACCGTGATAAAGACGCAGACACAGATGTCAGGTACCACAAACAGATCACCTCTGAAGACACCAGAAATGAGCTTCGCACATTGTACATATGTGGGGCCTCGAACATTACCTCCAGGCGCAGTAGCCAGCCATTTTTTCTTGTAAGCCCGATGTTAATGCAAGAACACAAGAACTGATACTCGCATCAATAAGGTTTATTGTATTGATATTATAGGAGTTACAGTTCATAATAAATGGCTGCTGCTGAGGACTTGTTAAATATTATTGTGTTCACTTGAGGAGTAAAGTTGCTGATGAGTTGCTGAGGATCAGAAAACTACAACAAACAATAGCTTTCGATGAAATTCAGAAAATGTACAAATTTCATAGCACATAACATTCAATATTTCATTCGAATGATATGTGAATACATTGAAATTGCAAAATTAACAACCACAAATTTACAAATAATTGTGTGAAATATATTAACAATTTTTGCACTAACCAATTAACATTTTGGCATATTTACAATTTCATTGTAATTTAGAGATAGTACAACCTAGCAATGAAAGGGTAAAGTACTCACATATGTGTCTTTACATAGTTCAGCTTACAGTCAGCTGGGTGACAACCAGGCAGCATGGAGGTCCAGTACACACTGGCAAGCATGTGCTCCAAAATGCATGAGCTTTGGAGAGGTCACGATGTGACCTGTGGGCTTTGACATCACACATGAAGGTTAAGGCCACAGGGTAGTGGAAATTTATTGGGCCACATGTAAACATTGTTTACACTTTTGACTGATAAGGATTTAAATGGAAATGAACTTTAGATAATAAAGTGTTTTAATTATTGGACCACCATGGATAAAATAATTAACTCCAATTGTAACAACTTAGCAAACAATTTAATTTTACAGAGTTTGTACATTGAAATGTATGTAAGGGAATCGTGCATTTAGACCTGATAGGTTGCCAAGCTTTATTTTTATAGTATTGAGGGCTAGCCCAGCTTTCATGGCGATCTTTAGCAAAAATAATGTGTAAGCCCGGGCTTTTTTTATAATGGTAGCTACGCCCCTGACTTCGGACGTGACGAGAAGGATCTTCACCACGAGGCTTCCCCTTCCAACTCCAAGCACGATGGACTACGGATTTTGCGATACATGCAGATGAAAGGGTGTTTTGAAATGAGGCTAGACACTCGTGTGTTGAAATGAAACGACACGCAGAATGAAAGCAACGACAAAACGCTGTGTGCATTATCGTGTTATTCCCGTGACACCCTTGACCCCTGTCGCCTACAAGCCTTCTCTGTAAGAAAATATACTTGTAACCCAGAGCTCAATAACGGGTAGTTGGGTGCTTACCGACAACCAACCGCTAACCAGTAGCTATTTATTCACGGGATCATCTCCCTCTACACCGCCATGGTGGAACGAGGAAGTAACGGTAAGTGGGCGTGCTGGCGATATTTGCCAGATTTCACGTACAGTACAATTCTAACAATGACCTGGTATAGCGATATCATTACTCCGTGATTGATGGACAAGGTATGAAGAAATACGGTGGTAATACTGTACTAATTCGGCCATGGTGGTATTTTTCCTGTGTGTGACCTCCCCACTGCTGTGTTGACGTGTCTACTTTCGTTATGTACAGGGAACCGACTACCCTCATCTAACACAAGTTGGTGTGTGGACTTACCGATACACTGACGTCAGTGAATTACTATGCGTATTATATCTACACATAACACAGTTTTGAGACAGTATGGGTGTATAATGTCAAGTGGCACTGCATTTGTTGGGCAATCTCTTACAGCCTACCTTCGTTATCGACATGAGTTATGCAATCTAGGTCAGTACATTATACAGGCGACAATAAACGTAAATGCACCTGTATAACGCGACTCTGGTGATACGAAAGGCCTTTATAAGAGACTAACTAAAGACAAAGTATATCATTAAAAGTAAACGTATCAAAATCTACATTTTGGAAATAAATTAGGCTAAGGCTTAGTCTCTGAATAGATATAATTTTGATAGTAACAAACAAACCTATTATAAATTGAAAAGGAGCCCCAGGGAGACCAGAGATTCAGAACCAGGGGAAATCTAGACTTGCTTCAATTAGGGCTTTAGCACTGCAGGGGAGGCTAGGCTGTAGGGAAAATAATGTGGTTCAGGGACTGTGAGACAGACTAGAAAAAATATATGTCAAATTAGTTTTAAAAGTCGTACATTGGGAGGAAATGACTGAGAGATAAATGAACGTAAGCAATGACAGAAGTATATGTGCTTTATCGTGTTGTATATTTGACACGTGAACCCTGACCCCTCGTGTCTTCTCGGAGGGTGTATTTACGTCGTGTTGTGTGTCGTTGCTGACCAGTAGCCGTTTATTATGGGGCTCAACCTCACCCTTCACCGACTGGCTGGAACGAGGAAATGAAGTTGAGTAAACGTGCAGGCGGTATTTGCCAGACTTCACGTACACTACCATTCTAACAATGACCAGGTATAGCGACATAATTACGCGGTGATCAAACGACAAGGTGTGAAGAAATACGGTGATAATGGTCTTAGAATTCGAGTCCTTCCCTATGTGCTCCGCTACTTTTACTATGTACGAGTATATCGTTATGTACAGCCTAATCTAAGGTGACTCGGTCTGTGGTCATAATGGTACATTGACTCAAGATGGAAAACTATTAGGGCTGTCATTTCTACATTTAATAAAATATTTAGACAGTAAATATTCATAGCTGGAGTCGGGTATATCGATATGTACAGCCTAATCTCAGGTGACTCGGTATGTGGACATAACGGTTCATTGACTCAAGATGGAAAACTATTAGGGCTGTCATTTCTACATTTAATAAAATATTTAGACAGTAAATATTCATAGCTGGAGTCGCGTTTGTTGGCGCAAGCAGTTGACACCAGCCTAGCTACTTTCGTTATGGAAATGAGCGCTGATATCGAAGTCAGCGCTGTATGTGCCAAGTCCACGAGTCATTGTTGCTTCTAGGTGTAAATGGCGGGTGTGTAGTCGTCGTCATAACGTTTTGCGTCAAACGTAAGCTGGACGTCCACGTAGTTGGCGGAAGCAGTGTGATTGTTTGGACACCAAGTTTACACAATGGCAGAAACAAATGTGTTTCATCTTTGTCACTTCATCACAGTACCGAGATCACGCAAGCTGAAAACAAACCTGTCAACCATCCAAGGACTCTCTGTGTACAACATTGCTTAACTTTGACTGATTAGTGACCTGGGGTATATGCACAAGACGACACCCCAACAGGCTGTTCTTGTCTCCCAGGGTGGGCACACAAAATATTGATTGCAGAAGACCTTGATCTTAGAATTTTCAGTCTTTATCCAGAACACATACACACACACACGTGCACGCACGCACGAACGTACGATCGCACATACATCTGTGAGGCTTGTCGGCTGTGGTTGCGCTGGTATGTTCAAAAATTTGAAATGAACACTTACTATAGTGTATATTTAGAGAGAGAATACTAAATGGTGTCCCGTATAATACCTTATTCATTCGTTAAATATTCATTTATTACCCATCCAACATTAGCACAATAATATATCAGAATTCAACTTACAGAACGAGTGCATTACGCCGTCATAACAGGGGTCACGCGTATGAATACATTTCATTTATGATTGTCAACAATAGTCTGTTTAATTTGATTGTTTTTAAATGAACAAGGGGTTATGAAAAAGGGTCCAAATAACTTCAACCAACATATCATTTATTTTGTATAAATGCTATTACACGCAACCGTTACTTTGGCCATATTGCCTAGTGCAAATAGTCCCGGCAGCATGCAATGCGTAATAACATTGTAGATTTAATGCATCTTCCGTTTGCAGATGGCGACGTCTCAGAAACTGCAAGAACATTTTCTCACATGCACCATATGTACAGAAGTATTTGACAATCCATGCACCCTTGTCTGTTATCACACATTCTGTCGGAAATGTGTCGTCAACTACACCAAAACCAAACCGGAAGCTATCAATGCCAAGTCTCTGCTGTGTCCTTTCTGCAGCAAGATGACGAAAGTGAGTGCCCCCGAGAGACCAATAGATGAGTGGGCGGATGACGTCAAACCGAGCTTTGTCATCCAGGGACTGCTAGACTCATTTGGCCCCGGATGTAAAGGTAAGGATCAATGGTAAACTGGTACTGCAATGCACGATGGTCTATTGGATGTGTCTTGCACCACACTCAAAAGAAAGGAAGGATAGACACGTGTAAAATCTGTTAAATATTCGTCTGTGGTCGTCGTATAAAGTTTGTAGCCGTCCCATGTTCGACTCTTAACCTTTGCGAAGGCAACACACTCCCTTACTCAATGTGAAAATGACTGATCTAAATCTACATGTAATTGTAAATACATTCATTATTTACTGATACAAATTTCAATTTGTACCCCCACAATACTCATGAATGTAGTGGTCCTGCATAGCTGTTTTCCAAATATCTTGGTTGAAGTTAAAAGGTAGGGTATTTAGGGTTCAAGTGATACCTCATTTTCATTATGTCAAACTAGTCATTCAAGTTCCCGAAATCTTTCAGAAGTCTGTCTTGCAGATATCGTGTTGTGAGGTAGCTTACACTAAAATTACTAGTAACAACAATTCATAAACCACAACAAATTGTGCAATTACGTATACAGATAGAGTGAGTGAGTTTAGTTTTATGCCGCCTTTGGCAATATTACAGCAATATCACGGCGGGGAAACCAGAAATAGGTGTCACACATTGTGCCCATCTGGGAAATCGAACCCGGATTTTCGGCGTGACGATCGAACGCTTTGACTACAAGGCTAGCCTACCGCCCTTAAATAGCTAGACGTGAGAACAAACACTCGATGATACGATGCTGAATGCTTTTCATTCAACCTTGTTTTTTGTCCAGATACAAAGAACTGCACGTGCTGTCATCGCGAAGGGGAGACAACTCCAGCGACTGTGTGGTGCTCGGTATGCGATGACGCCCTGTGTGATGTATGTGCTAGGGTGCACAGTCGCATCTCATCCACTCGTCATCACGATACAACTGCCCTGACTAGTGAGGCCATTATCCCCAGGAAACGAAACATCAAGTGTAAAGAACACAAGGATGAAAACATCAAATTCCTGTGCAAAGATTGCAAGAAAGTCACCTGTCACACCTGTTGTGTTATCTATCACAGGAAATGTGAATCAGTTGTCACACTGGAGTCGGAATTACCTGCATTAAAGTCCCAGCTGTTGAATAAGAAGGAAACTATTTCGAAGAAGCAAATCCAAATGGAAGCAAAAGTTGATGCTGTTAAAGTGAACGTCGTTTCTGAAAAAGATCGATATGCAAGAATGGAACATGACATCAAGTGTTTTGGTAACAAAGCGAGAGAGAAGATAACTCTCATGGAAAATAAACTTCTAGATGAACTGAAAGAAGTTTCTGAAAAGCACATTGAACAACTGACAGCCGACCTAAAGTCGGGTGAAATATCAGTACAGATGTACCGACAACAGACTGAGCTGATAGACCAGATTCTACAATCTGAGTGTGACATGGACGTGTATGAGATGTATCAGGGATGTGAGGCCGGTGATGTGGATGCTGTCGGAGACGTAGACGTGAAGAAGAGGGGGAGAATAGCCAGGATCATGTTCAGACAGAACGAAGACATGCTGAGTAGAGCTCTGGACGATCTACAGCTGGGTGAGATAGATGTCCAGTATGACGGTATGGTGAACTTGGAGGCAACACCTGTATCTCAAGACACCAGTAACACTGGTAACGTACTGGACCTGCTGCTCCTGTAACGTGCTGGACCTGAAGGCTGCTCCTGTGTTACAGGACTCCATTAACGTTAAGGTAGCAGGAGACGAGAATAAGGTATACCCTGCTGACGTAACAGTGTTGCTGGTGAATGGTACAGACACAGTGGTTGTAACAGACTACAACAACAACAGTGTGAAGTCCTTCTACACCAGGAACAAACAACGACATCACAGCAAGCTCCAACTGGGAGGTGAACCGTGGGGTATAACAAGGCTGAAACACAACCAGGTGGCTGTCACCTTGCCAGGTTGCAGACAGATTGTAACAGTTGAAGTGAACCCTGACCTGGTGCTGCTGTCGACCATCACAACCAGCAAACAGTACAGTGGTATAACGTCTCTGACACCATCAACACTAGCAGCAGGTTCTGATATTGATAGATGTGTGGATATTCTGGACTTGAGATGTCACGTGCTGAAGTCAATTAAACATATAGATAGTGGAAAAGCAATCATACATTCTCCTTCCTTTCTTTGTACAACAAGAACAGGAAACATCCTTGTGTCGGATAGCGGTTCGAAGCGTGTCCTGTGCCTGACAGCTGAAGGGGACGTTGTGTTCACCTACCCTACACCAGGACACACAACACTAGGATATCCACGTGGTATCACAAGTACCAGCACAGGTGACATCCTGGTTACTGACTACTATCAACACACTGTTGTTCATCTGACTGAGTCAGGACAGTTTGTCAGAAACATACTCACTAAAGATGATGGTGTCTTGTACCCGTTCGGAGTTTGTGTAGATGGACGTGGCCGTGTTTATATTTGTAATTACTGGTTCAGGTGAAATCAAAGTATTCAGTTTCAGTAACACAGTATAGACCTTTGATTCTTTCTCAAGTGATCATTGCATCTGTAAATATTACAATTAACTACATTTACAACGACCTCCTGACTGCAGATTGACTGAGCTGGTGTTGACAAATCATCACATGTAATGTACTGTGTGTCTGAGTATATCTAATATATAGTGTGAATGAGTATTTCTGACTGTATAGTGTGAATGAGTATATCTCATGTATAGCGTGACTAAGTATATCTAATATACTGTGTGACTAAGTATATCTATCTAATATACTGTGTGTCTGAGTATATCTAATATACTGTGTTCTGAGTATATCTAATATACTGTGTGTGACTGAGTATATCTAATATACTGTGTGTCTGAGTATATCTAATGTACAGTGTGACTGAGTATATCTAATATACTGTGTGACTGAGTATATCTAATGTACAGTGTGACTGAGTATATCTAATATACTGTGTGTCTGAGTATATCTAATGTACAGTGTGACTGAGTATATCTAATATACTGTGTGTCTGAGTATATCTAATATACTGTGTGACTGAGTATATCTAATGTACAGTGTGACTGAGTATATCTAATATACTGTGTGACTGAGTATATCTAATGTACAGTGTGTCTGAGTATATCTAATGTACAGTGTGACTGAGTATATCTAATATACTGTGTGACTGAGTATATCTAATGTACTGTGTGACTGAGTATATCTAATGTACAGTGTGTCTGAGTATATCTAATCTTCTGTATGACTGAGTATATCTAATGTACAGTGTGTCTGAGTATGTCTTATATACTGTGTGACTGAGTATATCTAGTGTACAGTGTGACTGAGTATATCTAATATACTGTGTGTCTGAGTATATCTAATGTACAGTGTGACTGAGTATATCTAATGTACAGTGTGACTGAGTATATCTAATGTACAGTGTGACTGAGTATATCTAATATACTGTGTGACTGAGTATATCTAATGTACAGTGTGACTGAGTATATCTAATGTACAGTGTGACTGAGTATATCTAATGTACAGTGTGACTGAGTATATCTAATGTACTGTGTGACTGAGTATATCTAATATTCCGTATGTCTGAGTATATCTCATGTATAGCGTGACTGAGTATATCTAATATACTGTGTAACTAAGTATATCTATCTAATATACTGTGTGTCTGAGTATATCTAATATACAGTGTGACTGAGTATATCTAATATACTGTGTGTCTGAGTATATCTAATATATACTGTGTGTCTGAGTATATCTAATGTACAGTGTGACTGAGTATATCTAATATACTGTGTGACTGAGTATATCTAATATACAGTGTGACTGAGTATATCTAATGTACAGTGTGACTGAGTGACTAGCATATCTAATATACTGTGTGTCTGAGTATATCTAATGTACAGTGTGACTGAGTATATCTAATGTACAGTGTGACTGAGTATATCTAATCTACTGTGTGACTGAGTATATCTAATGTACAGTGTGTCTGAGTATGTCTTATATACTGTGTGACTGAGTATATCTAATGTACAGTGTGACTGAGTATATCTAATATACTGTGTGTCTGAGTATATCTAATGTACAGTGTGACTGAGTATATCTAATGTACAGTGTGACTGAGTATATCTAATGTACAGTGTCACTGAGTATATCTAATGTACAGTGTGACTGAGTATGTGACTGAGTATATCTAATGTACAGTGTGACTGAGTATATCTAATGTACAGTGTGACTTTGTATATCTAATGTACAGTGTGACTGAGTATATCTAATGTACAGTGTGACTGAGTATATCTAATATACTGTGTGACTGAGTCTATATCTAATATACAGTGTGTGAGACTGAGTATATCTAATGTACAGTGTGACTGAGTATATCTAATGTACAGTGTGACTGAGTATATCTAATGTACAGTGTGACTGAGTATATCTAATGTACAGTGTGACTGAGTATATCTAATATACTGTGTGACTGAGTATATCTAATGTACAGTGTGACTGAGTATATCTAATGTACAGTGTGACTGAGTATATCTAATGTACTGTGTGACTGAGGAGTCTATTCTATAACCGAGAATATATAATATATTTTGAGACTGGGGAAAACTGATATTTAGTGCCAGTTAGTATCACTTGAATGCCCTTTGAACTTCGTGTTGTATGCACTTGTTCGTTTACAAATCAGAACATAGAAGTTTTATTGTGGTGAGATTAGCCAGTCGGAAAACGACATTTATGTAGCAGTGCTGAATCAATAAAGACACACTTACTGGTATCGGTGTATGTCATCTTTAGCTTAAACTTAGAATGCAAAGCATAATGTGTACATAGGGCTACTACACTATTTGTGAAATTACTTAAATTTCTAAATTAATCCATTTGTATATTAGGTTCATCAAGATGGACTGATATTCTGTCATTGTGAACAGCTCCGCGTATGTGACATTTGCTTCAGTGCTAATCACCTTTACCTCAACTTGGAATTGATGTCAGATTCCAAGCCTGTTCTTTGTATCTTGAATTATTTTGTATCGTTATAGATATTCATATTTCGTGAATATAACTTGGATTAATGTATGTAAATGCAAACTTTCTCGCCATTTCGAGCAGCCCGGAGAAAATGTTTAATTCCATGTGGGTAGTACTAGTACTGCTTTCTCCAGCAGTAACTGAGACTTCTGTGTGTGTGAAGATGAATTTACAAGATTTGTGTTCCGTGTGATATGATTTACTACTTCTCGATCAACGAGCTTCCAATTACATGTACTACATCAACACGTTTCCAATAAACGAGATCAAGATTTCCTGTTAAACGACTATTCTCAATAGCCTGTCAAAGGCACTCCTATGTTCACAGGCTGTGTCTGCGAGTAGTTACATAGTAAAACTTGTTTCCATGTATATAATTTTAGTCAAACAGTGTTTTGTATCTATTGTCAGGGTTCGGGGGCTGAAATTGTGTTCCCTATAACCGTTTGCTATAGGGTTAACGTATGACAGGGTCTTCAGGGTCACGTGTATCCCTGTGATCTTGGTATCGTAGTACATTGTGGAGAGCTGTGTTTATTAGGAGCCGTAAAACCCGGTTCGGTCTGGGTATCCTCAAGATTCAAGATTCACTAACATACTAATCTTTGTATAGCGCCAATATCCAGCTCAGCTGCTCAAAAGCACTTTGTTTTTCCCTTAATCATTGGATGTCAATCTCAATGGCACATCGTATTTTCATTCTCAACTCCCTGGGGAACATACAACTTTTGCAGCCATTTAGGTGCCGTGTAGACATTACTTGTCTATGATAAAGGGACAGTATGACTTAACCTCTATCCACCGACTATCCATCTGTTAGAGGGACAGTGTGACGTTGCAACAGTGAAGTGAATATTACATTTAACCTCTATCCACCGACTATCCATGTGTTAGAGGGACAGTGTGACGTTGCAACTGTGAAGTGAACATTACATTTAACCTCTATCCATCGACTATCCATGTGTTAGAGGGACAGTGTGACGTTGCAACTGTGAAGTGAACATTACATTTAACCTCTATCCATCGACTATCCATGTGTTAGAGGGACAGTGTGACGTTGCAACTGTGAAGTGAACATTACATTTAACCTCTATCCATCGACTATCCATGTGTTAGAGGGACAGTGTGACGTTGCAACTGTGAAGTGAATATTACATTTAACCTCTATCCACCGACTATCCATGTGTTAGAGGGACAGTGTGACGTTGCAACTGTGAAGTGAACATTACATTTAACCTCTATCCACCAACTATCCATGTGATAAAGGGACAGTGTGACGTTGCAAGTGCGAAGTGAACATTACATTTAACCTCTATCCACCGACTGTCCATGTGTCAGAGATGCTATGTGACTGGACCAGATAATCCAGTGACTGACATTGTGAGCCCCGCTCCATGACGCTCCAGAACACCTGGTCCGTTAATCGCCTCATCACAAATTATGTTGCTGGGTTGCTGACCCAAGTCCCCATGGGTCCTTACAAATTGACTGCAGTTTAAAAGATATGTGAATGGCACCGTCGAAGGTATATTTGGACTGAGCAAATAAATGACGAAATTTACCAAACATATCACTGGCCTTCTACTATTTGTCATCCACTGCCATACAGAAGGAACAGTTGTTGCATGTTGTTTCAAT